TCACTTGAAATCCGTAAAATAGCTCTCCCTCCGAATCATCCCGACTTCGCTCAATCTTACAACAACCTCGGCTTGGTGTATGATAACATGGGCGAGTACTCAAAAGCACTTTCATATTATGAAAAAGATCTCGAGATAACCAAGAAGGCTCTCCCTCCGAATCATCCCGACTTGGCTATTACCTACAACAACATTGGTTTGGTACATGAAAAGATGGGCGAGTACTCAAAAGCACTATCATTTCTGCAAAAAGGACTTGAGATCCGGCAAAAATCACTTCCGTTCACTCATCCCGATATTTCGCAGTCAAAAAAAAACATTGAAAATGTGGAAAAGAAAATGTAATTCTTTTTTCTTTCGATTTTAAAGACAAAATAAATTGGCCTTCTTGAAACTAAGGCTCGCCGAAGCAAGCAGCTGCAACATTTCGCGCACGCGCGACCAAAGATACCCTCCGTATTCTGCTGGCTCGTACAGTGGACAAAGCCGGCAATGGTTAGGCAAGCATACATCGATGTATCTATGAATAGTACGACCATGATCATCATCTTCGAAAAGACGATGACGAAATGGACGCTTCTATTCATACATACATTGATGTATGCTATGAAGGCCTACCATCTGCAAGCCTGCACGGGTCACCAACAGAACATCGGATATCCCCGGGAAGGTTCATTTGTTTTAGAGCCACCCTCAAAAGCTCCATTAGTTAGAAAATTATTTTTATTCTTCTGTTACGAAGAACAAGAAGAAGTAGAAACCGAAAGACGCGATAAAAGACGCGATAAAAGACGACGTCACGGAATGATAATACGCAGCGCATGATAACAACCGGTGTTTGTCAAGCAATGGAATATTGAGTGCACGATATCTTTGTCGTCTTTAAACATTTCATGTTCAATTCGTCTGTGTTTTCATCTCGAAAGTGTAAAGATCATTTGAATGTCGTGCACTCGCCATTGTAGCAAACGAACGATGATTGAATGAAACGGCGGATAAAAACAATACATTCGCCGTCAATTTGAGTAATAACTCATACACTGCATATCTTCAAATAGAGATAAAGAATAAAAAAAAGGAAAGTTTTAATTTTAAATATATTCTTTTTTATACTTTATGATGATATGTGATGGTTAATATCTTTTGCTATCAATGTTGAGAAAACTGCTCATGATTTCAAGTCATTATAAAAGAATATAGCATTGAAATCGATACATCTGTAGGATAGAGTGATTGGATTTTCCTCTAATCGTTCGCTTTTTGAAATGAAAAAGTTCAATTATTAAATAATGGTATTATATTGATAAAACTGCGGTTACAACATGAGAGTCAATGTCCAGTAGTTGTTTTAGCTATTATGCCAGTAGAGGAATAGTACAAATAGCTCGTCTGAAATATATTTCTACTTAGTAATGCTTTTTTTCTTTATTGTAAAATGGGTTAACTCCTTAAACAATTTGAAGTCCATCTAAAACAAAGTGTTCCGAAGAGTTAATGTAGGAGAGAAAATTATTTAGTAGGAACAGTCTCTCTCATGGATTGTGTCTCGTGGCAATCCTGCAGTTATTATAAAATATTTCGCTTCTATCAAAGTTTTCCATAGTTACAAGTGTTTTTTTAGACGATAGAATGCTTCACTACATATAAATATTTACACTGGATATATCCTGCTGTTAGTGTACAATGCATAAGATTTGTATAATACATGAGAAATTATTTGTAATGCTTTTCGAAACACGAATGAACTTCAGGTAAATGACAGTGTTGCTTAGCATTGATAATAAATCGGTCTTATCGATGTACATTTACGAAATTCTGATAAAATCAAAAATAAATTTAAGAATCTTGAATGGAGCCCCAAGTTAAATTGAATTTACATAAATTTAAACAAAATATTTTTTTAAATCTATTCAAATCGAGTAAAAATTAATAAAAATTTAATTTAAAGTCATTTAACATTAGTTTGAATTTGAATTAATCTTATTGAATATTAATTCATGTAGATGAATTAATGTGGAATTTAATTAAATCAACTCATATCGATATCAATTGAATTAAAACTACTTAAGATCAGTTTTAAATGAATTTAAGATCGAATTCGAGTAAACTTTAAAACTTTTAAATTTCAATTTTTGTAGATGCAGTTTGAATCATATGAGAAAAATTGAAATTCTCTTTAAACTCAAATGTTAAGACACTAACACGCAAAGTCCATGAATAGAATATTAATATCTGTAATGCTAATCAAAATCAAATCGACATTTTATGCTTTTCAAATCGTCTTGATTTTCCATTAACAATAGCAATAAATTATTCATGATCATAATCGATCATTTTTTTTGTATTGTATCACTACCATTTCATCAGAGCACTTTTTGCAATTCCCCTTTTAAAAGCCTTTGATGCATAACTCAGCGGTAGCTAATTATCCTTTCGATTTTGATCCTCATACAAGAAATCATACGTGTCTTCTATATTATCAATAATACTCTGATTGCTAGATGGTATCTATTAGAATTTTGCGTTTTGATAACTTTCTTCACCATTGCATTCTGATAAACATATGTACCTATTTCAATAGTATAAAAAATGCATAATTTTCGTAATAAACTTGAAACCAAACAGTTTTCTTGAGTAAACAGACCATCATGGTCGATTTGATATAAAAAAATTTCCATGAGAACGAAGTTCTTTTCTACTTTTTACACAATATGTTTTTATTGTGACTTGAAATCACGAGTAGTTTTCTCAATATTGATAGAAAAAGATGTTGCATGCATTTTTGGTAGCGGAAACGGTTTGATAGGATCTATTGTTTGACACAAAACTAATTTATATCATAGATGAATGTTTCCAGTTACTTTACATAGATATCTGCAATTGCCACATTCTAGTCTATGGGATTAAAACAACTCTAGTTATTCTGTGTTTTTTTTTCTAATCAAAGAATCATTTTTCTTGTTTCAATCTCTCTTTGAAATTGTCTAAGGTGATATTGCTTCAAAATAAAAAGATTTTTCATTCTTGAATGATCTTCAAATTTGATGAGAATATTACATAAATTATGTTTTATGAGTTTCTACGTTCACTCTACAAGCGCAATGACGATTTTACAATAACCGAAGCTGAGTAAAACGTAAGAAGTTTCTTGTTCGAGCTCTTTTTCTAAACATAAAAAAAAGTTATTTGAATTCCAAAATATAATCGTACATTTAGTTTAAAATGATAGAAAAGACTTTGAGATATTGTTCGATAACAAAAATATGAAAAAAAAATGACTGAAATTATACATTCACATCGCTGACACGAATAGAATCAAATATTTGATCCTAATCGAGTGAATGTATACATGAAATATCATAATTAAATAGCACCTTATCGATAGATGCATTCACGAGATATTGACAAGATTTTTTCATCTATCAATAGAGTCACTTTTGAGTTAGATATTTTGTGGAAAAAAATTTTTTTCTAATGAAAATTGAAAAAACCTATAGCGATTCTGCTGATATCTCATGGTTTTCATTATAGATTTATTCGAACGTGCTCTGTAACTATTATTATTTTTATTTAAGGAGTTACAATCAGCTTGATAGCTGGATTTCTTGAAACACGGCTTGGGCTTAGCATCGTTATTTACGCCGTGCTGATTATTTTGTATGTTGTAACTTCTTTATATCTTGAAGAATAAAAATAAATAAATAAAATGGTATTGACCTAATAGGTCAATTATCAAATAACAAGAAGAAAAAACAGAAATAATTTTTGTTTTTATTCAATAATTAACATTGAAAGATCTCTGAAGATTAAATCTTTCGAATATAATAACAATAACAATCAAATATGAATTGTTGATAATGCATCCGCTAATCAAATGTTATAATAACATATAACTATCATTTTCACTATTGAATCTAGCTGAAAGATTTAATAAAAGCAAATCATTTGACAAACATGATTTCCTCTGTTTGACTATTAAAAAAAACAATTGATTTCATATATACAAGTTTATTATTAACAAATAAAAAAAAATCAATAAAATATAAATTAGTCCTTGTGTTGTTTAATAAACCATTGTGATACTTTTGTGATTTTATCACTTACATAATTCTAGATATCTTTAAAAGAAAAAAAAGGAAAATCTTATGAAATTCTAATTTATTCGAAAACTGATATATATTTAAAGGAAATTTTTTTGTCTTCTTGTAGTAAAAAATTAATTTAAAATTACAGATATGCATAGCATTATATTTATGAATGTTGTTATCCAAATAATAAATTTTTTAATGAAAAACGATTTCAATGGAAGGAACTTTTTAAAATGAAATTATATTGAAATGAAATCTATTGTATCAGTATTTTGTCATACTATTACTGCTTCGTTTCATGTCTACAATTTCCTATCAGTTGGCCTTTAAATAAAAACCGAACTCAGTCACAAAAGAGATTATCTCTTGTGCCATAAACGAATAAATTGTGTTTATGAATACAAATGAGTATAAGTTAGAGTTGGAATCGGTTGAAAATTTCTCGATTGATCGGAGCTTAAAATTTTTTTCATATTGAAAAGTTTTTATTCTAAATTAAATTTCGTTTTAAATACTTACAAATTTTAACAAAGAGAAAAAGTGTCTCATTTTCAACAAGCAATAAATTAAAACTATATTTGTAATTGAAACATGTTTTCAACATTTGCCGATTTGACTTTAAATATATTTTCTTTATTGGATTCTTTGACTTAAACTTGCTTATTAAAAGAGAACGTTTTGCGCATTTTTGAAGACGAACTTCTTTATTTCTTTTTTTTTAAATTAAAAGAAAATTAAGAGTTTCCTATAGATTTTTTGATTTCTATTGGTCTATTTTTGTCATATTTACAAATCGATGAACCATCTGTTCAATGCACTGGAAATATCCAATGAAAAAAAAAAAAAAAAAAAAAAAAAAAAAAGGCTAAACTATCAACTCATTGTTAATGTTCTAGATCTTGAATTTTCTCACGTAAAACTTCGAAATAAAATTTAATCTTAAAAACCATGTACAAAATAATTTAAATCAATTTTCTTTGTAATTTTCAAAACTAAAGTATATTTCAATTAAACGAATAAAACAGAAGCAAATAATATGTAACTTTGGAAAAGATTTGAGAAAAAACATGAGACATTTATGAACATTTTTCAGAATATGGTCTCGTTCCAAAGCTGGCATAATCAAATCTGTAAGTCAAAGTTTTTATGAATCCGAAAAAAGCTAAACTTTTAGATCTGGAGCTAGGTCTATGATGTTTTTCTCGATAACATCTTATACCTTCTGTGTATACAAATAATTAAAGGATGAGAAATTTAGCAATTTATTAACTAAAATTTAAAATGTAAAGTTAAAGTGACACTCCTTTTTTTTTGTGTAGAATTATTTTTTTATGGTTACTTATTCATGATTTTATGCTTTATACATGAAAACTTGATGTTTAACTTAAAAAAGACACATTTTATTAATCAGAAAAAAATAACATAAACTGAATTGATAAAGAAAATTCATCAAACTAATAATAACACAATAATCTTCAAGTATATGGATTTGTTCTTCTCATGTTTACATGAAAGATGTCGACATTTATACATACACTAATATATCGTTTTTTATTTGTAATGTGTCTGTTAATTACATAAAAAAAAGCTTGATAAAATATTCTACATTGATTAAAATTTTTTATTTATTAGGAATGATAAATTTACATTTACAAAAATTGAAAACAAAAAAATTTTTTGTAAAATTTCAATATTAATATAATTAATATTTAAATTAGTAGTTGAATGTAAATCGGATTTGGAAAGACTCACAACTATCTATACTAGCCGTATGGATATTGAAATAGTTTCAATAAACATGTTATAGATTCTTTGCTATAATTTTGTTTTCAAATTGAAAAAAAAATTCAAATTTTAAAAATAAAATATAAATAATTTACTTACCATCATTCAAATGATCTTCTATAAAATGATGGCAACGATAGCAAACTACAATATTGTCCTTATTCATTTTTGTCAAAAGTGGACATACAAGTAATGCTTCACGTTCACATCGACAAATTCAATTTTGTTCTTTGCACTTATAACAAAATGATTCCATTGTTTAGATTAATTATTTGAAAAATTTACTTTTCTAAGACAAATAAAAAAAGAACGTTCAAATATAATAAGAAATCAACCTCATTTTCATTTTTTATTATTTGTTATAATTGAAAAAAACCGACATTTTTCAAAAAAAAAATTAATGGATTATAATTGTTAATCGGGTGTTTGGTGACTTACTTGATATCTGATAAATTATCGAATTTCGATTGAGAATAATGAGGAATTTTTTTTCATACGTCTTCTATTTTCCCATATTGATGTTCTATAACAATGACTATGAGTACAACAAAACCACCTACATCACAATTTGTTTTTGAAACAAATTGAATTTTCTTTTATTAAATTGTAAATCAAAGACATATTGTTTTCTAGATGGCGCTGCTATAATAGTATCGTTCGAAATAAAAGCTGATCTACTTTACGCTATAGCTTCTTGTTTCAATGATAATTGGTGGGATCAGCACTGGTTGAGACAGACGTTTTTCAGATCGGAACAGTTTCATCGATATTTTAGAAAATTTCGTTTTTACTTAACTCCCCTTCCTTCATTAATTGAATTTATACTTTTAATCAATGAATTTTTAAAAAAATCAAACAACATATCCATATCATAATCTAAAATGACATTTTTGTTGACGTAATATTCTCGAAAGTAATAAATTCTATTCATTTAAAAGTTTATCGAACAATAAGTTTAAATATTATACTTATAGAGAAATGAAGAAGTGAAACAATATGGCTGATAATCTCTAACTATTGTAGAGGAACATTTCAAATCGAGGAATCAAAAAAAAGAATCGAAGGCACTATTAGTTTTGTAAAATTCTTTTTCCTTGCTTGGCCATGTACAAAAGTTTTTTAAGAGATCCTTTTAAAAATTTTCGATGTTTTTTGAAGATTTTTACAATTTATAAAATTTTTCGAGAAAAAGAAAGAATGAAATTTTGAAAAATTTAAAGTTATTGTCGACCGATATCTTCCTATCTTTTTCCAATCTTTTCATTTCGAAATATTTTGTGGACATATATATATATATATATGCAAAGTCGCATTTTTTTTCGTCTCCTAGAACATTAGTGGGCTTTTTCTTGTGAAGAGCCATTTTAAAATTTTGTTTTAGGAGACCAAAAAAAAGGTGGGTCACAATAGAAACTTACATTGAAGCTTTTAACTTTTAAAAGAAATACTCATCTTTTTCCTTTTTCTTTGTCAATTATTCAGGTTTACAAAGAATTCATTGTCATAACAGCTAGTTTGGCATTAACAGTTAGAAATGTTCATTCTTAATGAGGAGAATGGAGATAATAGTAATATGGGTATGAAGGCGACCGTTTTTCATAATAACTTATGTTAGTTAACAAATGATGTGAATAGAAATATGATCGAAGAAAGATTTAATTAGATAAAGTATAACTGGGCAAATGAGGAGGGATAGGATATTAAGAACGAATAAATTTTGAGAATGTTAGATTTGTAAGGCTTAACTCATATAAGGATCTGTTTGATTTCTGTGCTAATATTAAGCAATGTATATAGTTTTTGTCATGATGGGAGAAATCTATGTGCTTCCCTGTTCATTTCACGATTTTGCTCTAATTAGACAGATCAATACAGTAGAATTCATGCATTAAATATGTCTAGATAAAAATGACTTCTTCTAAATGCCTCCCTCTCGCCTTATAGTATAATGAGAAAATATTCTCAAAACGAGTCTACTTTTCCTTTTTAAATATACTGCTTCTTTCTTTATTAAATAACTAAATGAATATAGGAAAGACAGCATAAACATTTCATAAACAACAAAAGAAAACAAATCAGGGTGTGGGGTGTGGTTACAGAGAAGAATGACACCCACACCCTCAAAATACTATATCACTAAAATATATTTACCTTGAATATTAATAGTTTTCATTTCCAAAATATTATCGGATAATAATCCATGTAATCGACCGAGAAAACCTTGACCATCACCAAATGCATGACCAGCAAGTCCCATCCATTCACAACTACCAGCATTTATTGTATAATTATATTGATATGTTCAGTAATAGATTGGACCAATTTTTTGCACCAGCTCCAAATGTACTAATTCCATCATATTCATTAATATTAATGTAATTAATTGCTTCTATATTAATAAGAATATTGTTGTATATTGAACCTAAACCATAGCCTTCATAACTATGACTTCCACTTCTTGCATTCACGATATAATTTAATTTTGTTCCACATTTGACTACGTTTTATACATCGTTACTATCCGTTGCATAAACAATAGCAGCAGGAAAATGAGAAATTCGACCTTCGCGAACACCCGATAGTTCATTAACATTGAGAACTATTTTGATCTGTTAAAGTACTACACGGATAAATAGTACGTATTGACAATGGGAATAACGATGAAAGACATGTTTGTAAATTGTCGTTGCTAGTTCTTGTCAATTAATAATTATCATCATAATATTTGTTGTAATAAAAGTAATTTGAAAAATATAGATCCACAAAATGAAGGATAAAGTCGTGGTACATTTAACCATTATAGTCTAGAGAAGTACATCGTTTCCAAATTATCTATTTTTATCACATCAAATTAGAAGATATATAACTCATAAACTCTATTGTCAATGATAATGTATCTAGAGTATGTGGAAAGGTTCCAAAAATTGAGAGGAGAAGGAGTGTATAAGAAAATATCTTGTTAATAAATGAAGTTAAATGATCGCTATCTATTTATCAAATAGAATACTCGTATCTTTCACTTATATTCTGTTCGGTGAACTTTCATTATAATATACCAGTAACAAAAGATTCTCAATATCCTCGACTGCTGTATCATTTCTATTTCTGTGTCAATTATTGTTGCATATAGACGTTCTCCTATAATGATCATAACTCCTTTACTATGATTTGTATCTTTCTGATAAAAAAATATCATAGATAATCCTATTTAATAACATGCAGCAAATAAAAAATGATGGATTTGATTCAATTTCTCAGTAAATGACTTTTTGAAATGAAAGATGAATACACGCTCACTATTTTAATTTTAAAGAAGAAGCTGAAAAGAAACAAAAAAACATAGTAACAATAACGAATTCAAGGGATCAAAAAATGCCCGTAAAATAAATTTCATTATTTGAAGTATTTGACTATATTATTTCACTTTTATTGCACATAATAAATTATCAGATTAATAGTTATGTTTTTACTTCATTCAGTGTAGAACCTTTGGAATAATATCACTGATGTCGTCTGTAATTTCGAACGTCTTTCATATGTGATGTAGACTCTAATATTTTATTATCTGACCAAATTATTTTTTTATTTTTTCTTATCATAAGCGTATTAATAGTCACTAGTTTTCTAGAGAACTTATGAAGGATAATGTTTGAAGAGATAAACAAAATTTCATAATATTGCTTTCATCAGCCCAACATATGTAGAAACTTTCAAACAGAAAAAATTAACACAGTAACGCTTTTAATTTAATAGAAATATTTTCGAAAATTTATCGAAAGAAAACAAATAATTATCAAATTGTATTCATTTAAAAACAATAGTTGATGAGCACTACTTGGAGTGGTTTGAACAGGAGTCGATGTTTTCCTAGTTATTGTTGAACTACTACTTATTATTGTCGTAAGTGTTGTTGAACTAGTACTTGTTTTTGTGGTTGTAGTCGTTGTCGTGGTCATAGTTGTTGTTGTGGTCGTTGTTGGTGTTAAAGTGGTACATTGATCAATTTCAATATCATCAAAAGCGACTGATACTGGTACTGATTGTGTTTGATTGACATAAAATGAAAATGTTTTGTCATAAAGATAGTCATTAACAGGGGCAATAGCCGTCTGCCATCCTTGACTATCATCTAATGATCGAAACCATATGATTCGTGAAATAGAGTAAGAAGAAAAGAGAATGATCGTTGTTCCATTCTTGTTAATGGCCGTTGATTTTACGTAATAAGCAAATTTAACGCACAGATTAAAATTTTCAACAACGACTGTTGATGTATATATTGTTCCATAATCTGTTGAAGTAAGTGGTAGGTGTCGATCCCAATAGAGAAAACCACCGGATGTTGAATTAGTTGTATGATCACGCGTTGGACCAAGGTTTTTATCAGGTATTGTATTACCAGTCGATAGAGTAAAATTAAATACGGTCTTAGACGACCTTGCAGCGTTCATCATACCACACATGCTCGAATGATCAAAATTGCATGAGAAAGAGAGAAGAGATGGACTAGATTGAGAAGGAGGATAGACACATGAGACGATAGCAATATTATCGAGAGCAAACGTGCTTGGATAAAAATCTCCATTAAACACACGAAACAGAAGTGAGTAATTACCAATTGGTAGATTGATAACACCCCAAGTCCTAGTATAAAAAAATAATTGTATCGATCGATAAGTATTTTTTTTTGTTGGATCATGATCTGATGCACATATCAGAATCGTTTCAGTCAAGATTTGTCATGTACACTTACCATTCATTGAACGCATATCTACAATTAAATGAAATATATTTTAATGACATGATTTCATCAAAATCATTTACTGGTATCGATGAAGATCTCCTGTTGGCCATAACTTTTGGATTATTTTCGATTCGTTGGATGCCCATGAATAGATTGATAAATACGCTTGATGCTTATTCGGTCCTTGGGTACCGTAATATCGAAAATTCAAGCAATAGAATTCGTTTGATGTTATTTGAATTTCTCTTTGTGCATGTAGATAACCAAGACCTCTTGTAGCATTAGATAATAATGCATAATGACCTGATGCATTTCCAAAGGTAAAATCAACAGTTGGTGCTGCTTTGTCTATTTTCATAGCATCACTGGCATTGAGGATTGACCATTGATATACATATTGAGGCAAGGAAATAAAATCATTCGTACATGATGATTCAAAATCACAAGAATATAAAACTTTCGGAGGTATTGGACGTGGTCCGTCACAATAATCGACTGAAAAGTCATCGAATGTTAAAGGTTGAGTTGAAACATTCAATCGAATAAATATTTTTAATTCTTCAGTTGGTAGTGTGATATTGATTAATGTCCAATCATTAGTTGATGCATTTCGTCCTGCAGTAGAAAAAAATACACGTGCTAGTTGTCCATCATCACCTTGTCCAACTTGAACATTGAATGGAAAGTTAGCGCGAGATGTATAGTACCACATATAAAAACATAGGACACGATCAATTGACAATGGTAAACGATTAGTTGTTTGTATTTCTGCCCACTGAGCTTGTGGACTAAATTGCGGATTGTAGTAACGATAATGACCAGCACCTGTATTTAACGTATGATCATGATCGATACCTTGAGAATGATCACCATCTGTTAAACCCCAGTTGGAATCAAAAGTAAAATCAACACAATCTGTTTCAAAGTCACAATGAAGTATAGATGCATGATTGAGAAATACATGGCATAGAAAACTAATCAAGAGAATTAACATTTTAACGAATATCTACTTGCTGCAGTTAGTGTGGGTTTATATAAATGATGTTAGTTAAGATGTTGCATATATGTTATGCAAGAATGTAGCATGATACATAGCATACTATCTCCATATAAAGATAAGAACAACATTTTCTTTCGTTTCATTGCTCTTCTTTTCGTCAATCCTATATCACTAATATGAGTCACATTTCGCAATGGAAATAATAAGAGAAAGATAAGGACACTATAAATTTATAATGTAACCTAAAGTTTACTCGAAGATGAGAGTAATAGTGTCCACTATGAAAAGTTTTATTCTATCTGTTAAATATGTACGACAATTTGTCATGCCTCTAATAAAAACGACATATATATTAGCATCATTTTGTAGGTCTCACTGAGCTCTACGTACGCTGAAAAAATGGCACTCTTTAATTGGAATGAAGTGAGGATCAGTGATATTTCATGTTGCTCAGCATAGGAGCAACCTACTGTGAAGGGGCTAATGGCCTATTTCATTGAATACATTATGAAGTGTTCACCAAAATCGTCTATGTGCATCAAGACTAGTTTAATGTTAAAGAGAAAAGCATAAATTTTAAAACGGAAGTAGTTTGCCGTGCGACTTTCATTTAGGGCCGATTTGTGGATCAACCCGTCCGCGTTCTTTCTGACTTTTCTAACGAAGCCTTTAAGAAATATGAATATTTCAAATGTATTTATGTTTCGTACAATATCTGTAAAAACGACGTATAATTTGAAATATTCATATTTCTTAAAGACCGCGTTAGAAAAGTCTGAAATTTTGTACATAACCTAGTCCACTTGATAGATTGATATAAGCAAAGTTTCAGGTCAAAATTCTATACTACGATTTTGCTGAATATCTTGGGTCCTGTGGGGAATATTTCTTAAAAATTCGATATCTTGGAAACAAAGCTGTGAGGGCTCAAATTCTTTACAGCTTTTCCATATGTCATCAAGGTCTACTTATGGTCAAAAGATGAAATCTAAACTCGTTGGACATCTCGGAAGCTTCCCTCGTAAGTGTTTTGATTAAAAACATCACTTTTTTCGGAAAACTAGTCGCTTAGATAGAGGGGTTTGAAATACTTTCTGAAAGTACTAAAATACAATTTTTGTCCTGAAAGTCAATCAAAATGTGTTTTAGATTTTTTGAAGATAAAAAAAAAATAAAATAAAAAGTTCGCCTTTCTGCTAAAATAACACCATCGAAAACAAGATAGTTGTATTGGTTTCTTACTGCTTTTTATGCAATAATGTATTTCAAAAGTTCTGAAAGAATTCTTGAGACTTAAAGAAGACTTCGAACAACTTTCAAGACTTCATGGAACTTCCCGACTGAAGTATCTGCTGATTTTCCCTTGACATGCTATTGATGCGGGAATTTTCCATCTTTTTTTATTTCGAAAAAAAGAGAAATAAAAGTGAAAGATTCAGGAAACTATTAATTGATGATAGAGACTATATTTCACTTAAAAGAGCCATACAAGAAAAGCAAAGAATTTGGAAAGAACAGAGACAAGAAACTCCATTAGCGCTGAATCATCTTGATCAATCATATCAATTTGGAGAATGGATAAATAATGACATAATAGCACTCATGAAATTAATGATAATCGCGACAATAACCAAAATTGCAGCTGAACTCATAAAATACTCTAATAAACCGGAGATAAGATATATGCCAACTCCAAGACCGATGACACCCATAGCAAAACTAATAAAGCTTAGAACTATTGATACAATACGCAGTTTTCGATTGGCGGTCGCATTCTTAGTAGCATATGTCATGAGGGTGTGGGTCTGGATCTGGATGTGGTTGTGTCTGTTTCTGCTTCTCACATTTTACACCCACATCCACACCCTAAAGAAAGAAAACTAATATTTGAGGACATCGAAAGAAATTAACATTTTCAATCAGCGTTCTCTGTAAATTGTTCAATATCTGTAAATCATTCAAGAGTCTTTGGTACATCTTTGTGTTTAAAAGAGAAAACTTTCACTTGAATATCACGTGCTTTAAAAGCATATTCCAAAGACGTCTCTTTATCACCACAACTCTTCAACACCTTTGCTAAAATATAGGCTGCTTCACCTATTCGTGAATGTCCAACAGCAAGCGTAGTATCAAGAAGGGTCTGGGTGTGGGTGTGAGTGTGGCTCTCAAAAGAAAAGCAACACATCCACACACCACCCACACCCACCCTCGATTCATATCAATCATTTACTGCGATCATACAAATGGTATGTAATTCTATCAGGTAATA